GAACGTAATTTTTTTTAATTATGATTAATTGAACCCATAGCCGAGTAGTGGCGGTATAAAAATATCCACGACCCCATAGCATCCCGTGGGTGTCGTAAGAGGCGACAGAGGGAAACAAATCAGGAGATAGGCAGCGGCGTCTTCCTATTAACAAATAAAAAACTGCGGTTGCCAACCCGCTTGCCAAGCGTGGCAGCTATGGCGAATATACCCCTATGAGAAAATCTATGGAGAGGCCTAACTTCAGCAGTGGAGATTAGAATGGCTCTCCAGCACCTTAAAAACGGCAAGGCCCCAGGCAAGGATGGAATTACAGCGGAGCTTCTGAAAGCGGGTGGAAGACCGGTACTTGAAGTCCTTCGGAAGCTCTTTAATTCCGTCCTCCATGGTCGCAGAAGTGCGGTGGTCTTGTTCTTCAAGAAAGGTGACAACGCTCTATTGAAGAACTACAGACCGATTTCCCTTCTGAGCCGCGTCTACGTGCTGTTTTTGAGAGTCATTACGAATCGTCTCGCGCACACACTTGACGACTTCCAGCCTCCCGAAAGAGCCGGTTTCCGAAAGAGCTTTAGCACCATAGACTGCATACATACCCTTTGGCAAATTGTACAGAAGTCCGAGGTGTACAATTTGCCACTATGTCTGGCGTATGTGGACTATGAGAAAGCCTTTGATTCCGTCGAAATTTGGGCGGTGTTGCAGTCCCTTCAGCGGTGCCAAGTTGACTGTCGGTATATCGAAGTGCTGAAGTGTTTGTACAGTAGAGCTACGATGGCAATCCGAGTACAGAACCAGAGTACGAAAACTATCCAATTGCAGAGAGGTGTAAGACAGGGTGATGTTATATCCCCGAAACTCTTCACCGCTGCATTGGAAGACGTTTTCAAGCGTCTGGACTGGAAAGGATACGGTATTAACATCAATGGCGAGTACATCACTCACCTTCGATTTGCCGACGATATAGTCCTTATAGCAGAATCGCTGGAGGACCTAAGCACCATGCTCAAAGACCTCAATAGTTTCTCCCAACGGATAGGTCTTAGGATTAACATGGACAAAACAAAGATCATGTTTAATGTCCATGTCACACCTATGCCGGTAGTTGTTGGGAGCACTAAACTCGAAGTTGTTGGCGAGTATGTTTACCTGGGACAAATAGTCCGACTAGGTAAGTCCAACTTCGACCGAGAGGTGAATCGTCGGATTCAACTCGGCTGGGCAGTGTTCGGGAAACTACGACACGTCTTCTCGTCAGACATACCTCAAAACCTTAAAACGAAATTGTACAACCAGTGCGTGTTGCCAGTGATCACTTACGGATCTGAGACGTGGTCCTTCATTACTGGCCGTATGAGTAAGCTCAAGGTAGCTCACCGAGCTATGGAGAGGGCTATGCTCGGGGTTTCTCTGCGTGATAAACTTAGAAATAAGTATATCCGCAGTAGAACCAGAGTAACCGACATAGCCCAACGGATTATTAAGCTGAAGTGGCAGTGGGCCGGCCATATAGCTCGAAGAACCGACAACCGATGGGGAAGAAAGGTTCTCAAGTGGCAGCCTCGTACCGGTAGGCGAAGTGTAGGGCAACCCCCCACGAGATGGAGTGACGACCTGGTAAGACATGCAGGAAGTCGATGGATGCAGATGGCTCAGGACCGTGCTTTGTGGCATTCCTTGGGGGAGGCCTATGTTCAGCAGTGGACTTATGAAAGGCTGTAATGATGATGATGATGATGTAATAACATACAATGATGTGTTTTCAGAGTTTGATGAAGTTAGTGGAGACGGGGATGGAGATGGAAGGAGATGGAGATAGGGCAAGAAGTGCTCTTCAAACCAGGTAAGACACATCATTTTATTTTATTATGTGGGTTTTAGGTATTTAATTTTAAACATCTTTATTTTTACGTGGTAGAGCCATGCTGCAGCTATATTAATAGTTTAGTTGTAGCACGAATGGGTCGGCTCGACCGGGAAAGGACCACGCTCTCTCAGAATACCAGCGTAAAATAGCTTAACGCTGCTGTGTTTCGCATGGTGAGTGTAGAGAACCGGAGACCCATTTTACTGGAAAAGAGGCATTCCATCTTAGTCCTGGCGGCTGACAACGCACCTTTGTATTCGCAAAAGATGTAGGTGTCTATGGGCCACAGCAACCACTTACGATCAGGTGGACTTTGTGCTCGTTTGTCACCCTTATTCTATATAAAAAAAACTATTCAGAATTTTACTCTGCGACGCTGATGCTAAATTTCAAGTTTCTTCCATCTAGTGTCTTTCTTCTGTCTAAGTTTTTGGTGAGTGAGTCAGTGAATCAAATAGTGTAACACTCATATCATACTCTTATTGACTACTTTGTAGAAATACCTTATAGCTTCTAACAAACAGTAAAACAATTTAAATATGTCTGACCAAAACTATCAAGACCAGTCGGAAATTTTATCGTCAAGAGGACTGCCGTAGGTATATGTTTCTTCAACTTAGGAAAGTCTTATGTCTGCGTCTATAAAACTGGGTGCTTCCCTTATCTCTGAATACTTATGCGAAAAACTTGGATCAGTGTGAATAATCTAAATAAGTTCTTAAAATAATACCTAATTAATTTAATTATTGTATTGATTATTGTCATTATTTGGGATTCTAGAAAATCACCCTTGATTACCTAGAATCCCAAATAATGTGAACAAAAATCAGTGCGGTTTTGATAGAATTTAATAACAATTTGTTGAAATTTATTTGGAGTTTGGCCCGCCAGCGTATCCTTAAGTTTATAAATGGCCTTCTAGTCTAAGATACTCTTCTAGTATTTAAATTGAGTTTGAGATTTTTTTTTTATGAATTATCGTCATCATTGAACTTGCTATTACCCTCACTTCTATTTATCTTTTCATCGCAAATATAAATATATACAAACTGTTTCCAGACTTCGAAGTGTGAACATCAACGTCCGTATTAAGTCGCGCTAAAAATTAGTTCTAAATATCATATTATCATTGGTGCCTCAAAGTGTTGGAGATATTAACGAGGATGAAACGTGCACATTACATCACAAGAATGAAGGAAGTGTATCAACAAGATTTTGAGGTTAGACCTTAGACCTTTTCATAAGTCATTATATCAGATATAATTAAATATTAAAAATTTTGTACAACCGACTTCAATATAAATTATTAAGAACTAGCTGTTACCCGTGACTGCGCCCGCGCGTAATTTATGACGATTGGATTTCATGGGTTTTAATTTTTTGCACGGAACCCTAATTCTTTTTCTAAAATATAAGTATCCTAAGTTACTTCTTATAATATCAGCTATCTGCCAGTGAAAGTCCGGTTAAAATCGGTGCAGCCGTTTCAGAGATTAACCGGAACAAACAGACAGGCAGACAGACAAAAATTTTAAAATCGTGTTTTTGTTATAAGTACCGTATATACTTTCATATGCATATAGTAAAAAGCTGTTATTTCGACATTACAAACAGACGCTTCAATTTTATTTATTTGTATAGATAACTCAAAAACTATTGATCAGACCTTGATCAAATTCATATGAGACCACATGTGAAGCACCAGCTTTGAAATATAAAAACAATCGAAATCGGTTCACCCAGTAAAATGTTATGAGATCACACACATAAAAAACCTACAGTCAAATTGAGTACCATCTCCTTTTTGAAGTCGGTAGAAAATATAGCTTATTAGCTTATTAGACAGGCAAAATTACAAGTGTAGGTCTAATATTTTTTGAGTTTTGGGGGTCGAAAGCAGCTGGAAATGCTTAGCGTAAATACTGACAGACACTGCTAGAGCGTCGCCCTTTTCAACCGACTTCAAAAAAGGTTCTCAATTCGACTGTGTTTTTTGTGTGTGTTACGTCTGAACTTTTTTCTAGGTGAACGGATTTTGATGATTCTTTTTTTTAATAAGGGCTAATAATTTTCTGCTCACCAGATATCGCTAGTGGACACTAAAGTAAAGTGTTTTTCTTATGTTATTTAATTGATAAGTTCGTTTTTAATACCAGTTTATCAGTTTCTAGTTTCTATATTAACACACAAAACAATGCGTCAGTGGTTTGCTCTTTAATTTTTTGCACTTTTTTAACTTTATTTTTAATTTTCTACTTTCATAAATATGTGTCGTTTGGTTTATTTATTCTTAATCTTATTATTTAAAAATATAGCTAATAGTTCAGAAAGAAACATTAACCTTTACATTTTCCAAACAAATTAACTTCCACGCTATGAAATCTGTCAAATATTATAGCTCACTTTTAACCGGTGCCGCCCTGGTGGCAGAAAAACTCGTGGATGCCCTCACTGAAAAGCTAGTGCTTCTAATGTTGTCCCATATAATTATACTTCATCAAGATTTGACTAGTAGTTTTTGAATTATCCGTAATAATACGTATTTAATTGACTTCGACTACATTGATGTTGTTCTCATTTGATTTATATTGAAATCGGTTGTAGAAAACTTTTTAATTTTACCGCTTGTCTTTTCCAAACTTTACTGACACACTGCCATATGTCTCATATTAATAACATTGTCTTCTATCCAATTATGATTAATGTATGAAACTTGTTAAACATATTTCCACGCAACTGTACAAAACGATTCGAATTTATAATTTATCTTTATGCTCCACCTATCAAAATAGCTTTATATTTTGATATCAAATGTATTCAAACATAATTCGACTGTATTTTAAAAATATTAAAGTTTAAATTCACAACAATATCGTTCTTGCTAGTTAGTGAATCGATTTATGAGCCACGCCCGATTGTTTTAATCGATATAGCTTTACGTTTGTAATTTATGTCTTTATTATACGATTTAAATTGTCTCTTCGTTTGCAAATACGATTTATAAATTATAAATGTGCTTCAAGTATTAGTACCTCAGTGGCAAATATATCTACTCCATTCATCAATGCGGAGGTGAAACATGTTCAAAAATAATTAGAAAATTACACATAGAGCATTTATTAATTTTTTACATAGGTTAGAATCCAGGGCTAGGTGGCTTGAAAGCTTCCTCATCCGATTTATCGTCTTGAACTATTTCTTTTTCTTTCTCTTTCTTTTTACCCTTTCCTTTGCCTTTTCCTTTGTCTTTTCCTTTGTCTTTTTCTTTCTTTTTACCTTTTCCTTTGTGTCTTCCTTCAACTTCAATTTTCTCTCCTTCTTCATCTACTTCCGCTGGTTCTTCTTCATGTTCCTCTTCTGGTGAAGATGACCCATCTGATTCACCTTCTTCTTCTTCTTCTTCTTCTTTCGTTTCAGCTGCAACTTGCGCAGCAGTAGTGCTATTATTGCACCAACCTTCTACAACTATTTGGTAGAACTTTGTAAATGTCATTAAGGGGATTCGGAGCTAGAACACGATTAAAAATATAATTACTAAATTATAATAGTATGTAGTAGCTTAATAGTTAAGTTTTTTTCGTGGTAGAGCCACGTTGGAGCTATATAACTATTGTAGCACGATTAGGTCGGCTCTACACATAGGATACCAGCGTAATTTAGCAGCGTAATGCTGTTGTGCTTCCCATGGTGAGTGTAGAGAACCGAAGACTCTTTTAACTGGAAACGAAGCATTCAATCTTAGTCCTCACGGGTGACAACGCATCTGCATTTGGATTATTAATCGAGAATAGATGTAGATGTCTATGGGCCACTTAAAATCAGATTAACTGTGTTCTCGTTTTTCCTATTAGCACCCCGAATTCGATTCCCACCGGCACCATTGAAATTGTTAATTGCACCTTAAGTCCAGATATACAACGTGGGCAACCGTTAAGGAAATCACCTTCACATCACAGAGCTTAAGCAATCTCTTCGCGCCAATGAAAACGCATCAAAGCCTAAATCACGCTATCAAAGTACCGAAGTACTGCGGTTTATAAAGAACCACTGTGTACATACACAGTAAGCGTTATCCGATCGGAGTGAGTTTCCTTCCACGGCTAAAGCCATCTGATAAATAAAATATTTCTATGACATGTAATATCCATCAACACTTACTAGATCAGCGCGGATAATTAATACTCCATAGGCCTTCTCATGAACAACAAGCATGAAATGTGATCTGTGTAGCCATCGGACGTAAGGCTAGGCTATATTACTTTACTTTACTAATACATGTGCCATAACTGAGTAATAGAGATCTAAGGGTGCGTACAGATTAAGTAACATGTTGTGTAACTTCTGTTTTATAACACGTCCACATTATGTTACATTGTTTTTCAACATTGCAACATATAACAATACTGTAAACATTAGAATAACAATGCAATATAACAATGTTATAAGACATTGTCATTTGCAGTTCTGCAGTGCTTTTTACAATGACGACACGAGAAGACGTTTTGCTACTTGTACTTTTAAATAACAAAAGAAAAAAACATAGCTACTGGGTTCGTCCCAAACAAACATAGTTTATTGACTAGAGAAATACACTCTCGGGTTATATAACATTTGTGTCACGTTATATAACACATTTAATAACATACAGTCTCAACATTACTGAAACATGTTATATAACAACGTTATGTTATTTAATGTGTACGCACCGTAAGAGTACTCGTATTCACTACTCCACATATCGGCCCCTGGGTGTCGAAAGAAGTGACAGAGGGAAAAAAATCAGGATATAGTCAGCAGCGTCTTCCTAATAACGACTAAAAATATAAAACTGCGGTTGCCAACCTGCTTGCCAAACATGGTAGCTATGACAAATATCCCCCCTCCCCTCCCCCTCAGTGGCAAAGGCAATCTATGGGGGCGGCCTATATTCAGCATTGGATTTTAATAGGCTGTAACGGTAACGGACTGACTCTTTCGTTCAGTGGTTGCACACGCGACTGCTGACGAGGCAATCTAAAAATAACGTAATAAGCTAATGCGGTTAGTTACCTTCACATTAACAGTGTTTAAGCCCCAGACCATCGGGTCTTGCATTTGGTAAGGCATGCCAACCTTCACACACGCTACGGTGAAAGCATAAGGGGAGGTGAGCTGTGAAAATATAACGAAATAGAAGGCAGAAATGGCTGTCACATGCGTAACACTTAACATTTACATTAAACAAAGAGTAAAATTTATTGTAATATTTAAAAAAAAATGTCAAACCAACTGCAATATAAATTATTAAGGCTAACTCAAAAACTACTACTACTTTACTTACTAAACTACATTGGTTGTTGTTCGCCGTGCACATACACATTGTGTTAGTGTGCGTAGGTCTCCGGAGCGCTACTCCCGAGCGCTCGCAGCCTAAGTAGCGGCACGAAAGTCTAGCGGTGGCCGATGTTGCGCGTAAGTCGCGCTGATTGGCTCGTGTGTATCGTTCTCACGCGCTGATTATCTCTCCAGTCACGTTCGTGCAATTCAATCAGTTCAGCGCTAGACCTACGTAGCGCGACTTGTACGAGCATGCAATGCAACGTAAAATTGCCAAATCTTCATTTCAAAACGTGACATCTTTTGCGTATTTCCGCGGCAAATGTATTTTAAAACCAGTTCGCTAGTCAGTAGCCATCAAGGGCGCGACGCGTACTTATTCATAAACATAAACACTCACGCATGTCACCCAGAGGGGTAGGTAGAGACTACGGATTTCCATTTGGCACAATCCTTTCACACTTCTCTCGCCTCACCCACATTTTTTTTATAGGATAGAGTGACAAACGAGCACATAGTCCACCTGATGGTAAGTGGTTGCTGTGGCCCATAAACATCCACATCTCTCCTCATTTGCGAATCAAAATGCAGATACGTTGTTACCCGTGTGGACTAAGATGGAATGCCTCTTTTCCAGTAAAAAGGGTCTCCGGTTCTCTACACTCACCATACGAAACACAGCAGTTTTAAGCTGCTATTTGACGCTGGTATTCTGTGAGAGCGTGGTCCTTCAACAGTCGAGCCGACCCATTCGTGCTACAACTATACTACTAATATAGCTGCAGCATGGCTCTGCCACGTATAAACACATCCATATACCTACGAATACATGTTCGTTCGTTGCCCAATGCTGCTATGTTTCATATGGTGAGTGTAGAAAACCGGAGACCCTTTTTACTGGAAACGAGGCATTCCATCTTATTCCTCACGGGTGACAACCCATCTGCATTTTGATTCGAAATCGAGGATATTAATAGATATCTATAGGCCACAGTAACCACTTACCCTCAGGTGGACTGTTTGCTTGTTTGTTACCCTTAGCCTATAAAAAAACGACAAAAAAACTGCGGTTGCCAACCTACTTGCTAAGCGTCGCAACTATGGCAAAAATCTCCCCTATGAGGCAATATATGGAAGTGGCCTATGTTCCGCAGTGGATTTTATAGGCTGTAATGGATGGATGTACAGAAGATAATCTACCAGGGGCACATGACGCACTGAGAGGTGAAATTAATAAATCAACAGTAACATTACAACTATGGCAAACATCCTCTCTATGAGGCAATCTATGGGGGAGGCTTATGTTCAACAGTGGACTGTAATAGGCTATAATGGATGGATGTACAGAAGATAATCTACCAGGAGCACATGACCCACTGAGAGGTAAAATTATTTAATCAACAGTAACATTCCAACTATGGCAAACATCCTCCCTATGAGGCAATCTATGGGGGAGGCCTATGTTCAACAGTGGACTTTAATAGGATATAATGTTAACGGTAGCGGTTAATAAAAATTTTCTCTTATTTAATATCGCAAGAGATCGCGAGAGGTGGAAGAAAGCCGCAGAGCCTTTAGCTCTGCAGTAGAACGTTAATAGCCTATATAAGTCACCGCCGATAGTGTTTCAAGCCGAGGTTCGTACCTTCTTCTGAGGGGCCCTTGAATCACATCGATCTCCTCCCCGTCGAGGAGCCTCACTCCAAAAGCAGGGGTCGTCGGGCTTCCTCGGGAATCGGCCGGCAGAAACGTTGCACTCAATATCTCGCTTACGAATATATTTCCAATAGCATACACTTTTCGAAAAAAATGCCTCCTCCATAGATTGCCTCATAGACGGATTTTGCCAGTATTACCACACTTGGCAGGCGGGTTGGCAAAGTTGGGCATCGGGACTTTCATTCTTTTATACACTATGTAGGTACCGACATCAGAATGTGTATTTATTTTATTCTAACTAACGTGATTGGTGGAGCATGAAGCAAATGGTGAAAGCTACAAACCTCTAAAAAGTAAGAGAGGAAAACTGGATTCGTAGTGTCCGGATATATTTGGAATATCTCGTGGTAGAATCGAAACAAGCCCGCCGCGGAGTCACCTCGATCGTAGCACCGGATCCCGCCCATCCACCAGTGACCCACCCACGTTTTGGCATGCCTCTCCATCGCAATGGCACGGGGCATTATATAACCTGTTAATTTGTTCGGTTTTATTTAAAAGAATATCACTCGTATTGTGGCGGGGCTGTCGTTGCGCCACAAGCGAAATCCATCGAAGCCTAAATCGCGTTATCAAAGTTCCGAAGTAAAAGGAGATCTGTCCCGATTTCGCACATTCAATTTCTGGATCTCGACAACAACGCCACCTACCGGGTTCAATTGTGAATCTAAACCATTCTCTAATCAACTTTATTAAATACACAAAATTTCATCAAAATCGGTCCGGTCGTTCAGGATTCCAGTCGTCCAGGAGGAGTTCAGTCTCGTACATCCGGATGGAAGAATTATATAATATATATATACAGGGTATTTTTGAAACGCTCCCGAAAACGAAGACAGACGACAGTACTAACTATTTCTTTGATGATGGGTGTAATATAAAATCGATCCTGATGAAAAAAAATCATCTTTTCACAACGTTTTATTAGCTTTATTTATTCTCTATCATGTTACGTTTTTTACGTGGTAGAGCCATGCTGCAGCTATATTATGGTTGTAGCACGAACGGGTCGGCTCGACCGGGGAAGGACCACGCTCTCACAGAATACCAGCATGAAACAGCAGCTTAACGCTGCTGTGTTTCGCTTGGTGAGTGTAGAGAACCGGAGACCCTTTTTACTGGAAACGAGGCATTCCAAATTAGTCCTCACGGGTGACAACGCATCTGCATTTTGATTCTTAATCGAAGATAGATGTAGATGTCTATGGGCCACAGCAACCACTTACCATCAGGTGGACTGTGTGCTCGTTCGTCACCCTTATCCTATAAAAAAAATGTTAGTACAGCTAAATGAAACGATAATTTCATAAAAAAATCATGAAAATACTTAAACATAAAACCAGTAGTGGAATTACGGAATTACAATCAACTGACTAGGGGTCACTGTACGCGCGAACGCCGAATTCGCGCTGGTTTAATAACCAACGGCAGTAAACTCGCTGGCGGTCGTGATCACCGGAAACTAAAGCTTGCACTTTGTACACTTTGTATGGGCGCATTCGGTTAAGCTTTAACACTTTGTGAACTGTACAGTATGACACACTTGTTCCATCCCGATGCCTTAACAATTTAGCGAAACGCCGAACGAAATCTAAAATGCGCTCCTCTGAGTGAACAGCCACTTGACTTCCACCTCCTGCCAAAGCAATGGGGCGATTTTCCAATACTCGCTGAAATGCTGCTGTTATCAGACGGGAGTCAGCTGGATGTCGAGCGGTCGGGAATTTCTCTCGGTAAATTCGCAATGCATGCGAAGCATTCCCGCGAACTTCTCCAAGGCACTTGCCATATTCATGAACACTATAAACGTACGCGTTAGGCATTATAAAAATTAAATAGGAAACTTAAAACGTAACAACAAGAATTGTAGTATTATGCTACTTACATATCATTTTACATTATTTTAAATTCATTTTTCCATTCTTTTTCGATTTTCTGCATTCACCTCAAAACTGGATATTTTACATCACCTTTATTTCCATAGGATCCTGTAACGATTTTAAACCATAAGAACACAATAACAAATCATTTCTACTTCGTATTTTCACATTATCAGCACTTTTAAATTGGTGTCAATGGAGTCTACCTTTTTTCGATCTTTTAGCTAGTTTTCCGTAACTCTACAATCTTGGGCTTTGTGTGGGCAGCTGCGCTACCTTTTTTCCTATATCAATAATATCTCATTTTCCACTTAAATCTTACCATTTTCTTATTATAAACCTAAAACCAAAATTTGACATGTTTTGATATTGTTATTTATTTCGTTGCTATAGTAATTATATTCAAATTTGCTACCGATCTGTTGTTCCTATTTCGATAATTCCACATAAATCCTCTTTTCTCTTGACCATTTACAAAAAATTTGCGTTTAATTTAAATAATTTTTCCGTTCTCTCTAGAAAGGTATAAAAGCCGAACAATCGGTGAAGAAAGGCAGTCTCGCTTCAGTTCGCGAATTGGAAGTATCTCCTAAAGGCCTTATCCCGGGGCCGCACTGCCCCGGGATCCTGCAAGCCTCCACCTACACGTGAAGTCTTCGGCGAAGCCTTCTTCAAGCGCGGAGCCGCACCACTCCGGAATCCTACAAGCCTCCATCTACCTCGGAAGTCGTCGGCAGTTTACTTCAAGCGCGGGGGGCCACACTACTCCGGGCGCTACGACTGCTTACTCCAGGCGCCGAGTGCACCTACTGCCGGCGCTACCTTTGAGCGCTGCAACTGCTGACTCTAAGCGTTGAGCGCACCTACTCCAGGCGCTACGTGCGCCGGCTCCGGACGCCGCGTGTGCTGGCTCCAGGCGTTGCGTGTCGTCGCTGCTAAGAAACCTACCTCTACAAGCACAACCGGCGTGTGCTGGCTTCAGGCGCTGCGTGCCGTCGCTGCTAAGAAACCTACCTCTACAATCGCAACGTGTGTCGCTTCGACTTTTAGGCTCCACTACAATTCTATATTCCCCTATTCTCCTACCTTTATTTTTTTTCTCACTTCATTCATCATCATCCTCATTTCATTTTTTTATAAAATTGTAAATATCTTTGAATTTTGAATATATTTTTGTTTTTGTTGTATTTTTGTTGTTTTGTTGGTCTTAGGTTAAATTCTTTTTGTTCTTTATTGTCGCTTCACGACATTTGGCGCCCAACGTAAAAGTCCTCTTTCTCTCTTAATTCTTCACCTTTACTGCGCCTTGTCCATTCCCTTTTGATTTAATTGCTCTCCCTTTCGTTCTTAACTCATTATTCATCATTCATTTATTCATCCTTTTTATACCTTCCAAATTCTAAGACAACACTTCATCTAGTGTCTCAACTTATCTGGATTATATTTAGACCTACATTTAACACTTACATTCATCACTTTAATAATTTTATTGTAGATAATCTTCCAAATTCTAAAACAACACTTCATCTAGTGTTTCAACTTATCTGGATTATATTTAGACCTACATTTCACACAACACTTACATTCATCACTTTAATATTTTCATTCTAGGTAACTTAAAGAGGTATAACTTTTCAATTAAATCTTTATTTCTTAAACTTAACTTTGAACTTTACACTTTATATAAAATTGTTTTTCAAAGCTGAAGCGAGACGATTCATAACTTTTCTAAGCATTTACTAACTGTTAATTTGTATATATGTATAAATATCACCATCATTCTCACCTTATTATTTTTATTTCTTTTAATTTGTTTGTTTGTTTGATGATCCAGTGTTCTTCAACACATCTTGCTTTAGGACCTCGAACTTTCGTTGGTAAATCTTCACTTTTTATTTCAGACACATCTCGCTAGTGATGTTGCTGATCTCTGGCTTTGAGCCCTACCGCTCTGGCCGTTCTTAATCTTTACTTAAGTCATAGCGACTAAAGCTTACTTGAGGTATTTCTTTATCTTTATCTTCACTTGGGAGCGGTTGACTACTCCCTTAATAATTTTTTTTTTATCTTCACGCAAGAGCGGATGACAACTCCTTAAATAAGCCTGAATGTCCTTTCGAAAACACACTTTTAAGAGTGGTGTTTCTTCGACTAATTTTTTAAATATCTTTGAATTTTGAATATATTTTTGTTTTGTTGTATTTTTGTTGTTTTGTTGTTCTTAGGTTAAATTCTTTTTGTTCTTTATTGTCGCTTCACGACAGAATAATATCATAAAGTAATAAATAACATGTAATAACGGCAATAATTTAATAAACAAAACAATTGAACTGTCTCTTGTGATAGTCAACACGGAACTGTTTTCCACACACCGTTAAAGCGTTATGTACCTATGTTAAGACATTGCCAATGTTTATTTATAATTTTAATCCCTACGACTAGTCTTCATATGGAATTTAAAAGTTATGGTTGTCATTTTCAATACAATTACACAAACAATTGTACCCTGAAGCAACAAGCAGTTCTTTACTACAAAAATTATTGAAGTTAGTAAATGTACCTAATTGGATATTCAGTACTCACACAATTAGAAACACTATTTCATCGTTATCTTTGATTTTGTATAAGAAAATAGAAATGAAAAATGAAACTAAAAAATGAAACTTCGAACCACCAATTTGATCGATAAATCGCTCAGTGTCCAGGTTCAAGGCCAGCGTTTTTACGTGACGGGACCTATAAGAGTTCGGCGCCCGCGAGGATATTGACCCTATTGTCAGCTAATGTGTTTTTAAGTTTCACTGATGGTTTTTTATTTAAGTATTTTCATGATTTTTTTATGAAATTATCGTTTCATTTAGCTGTACTAACATGATGGAGCGTAAATAAAGTTAATAAAACGTTGTGAAAAGATGATTTTTTTTCCTCGGGATCAAATTTATTTGTGACCCATGTTCTAAGGTGTAGTACCTACTATCATCTGTCTTCGTTTTCGGGAGCGTTTCACAAACACGCGGTATATGCATGTGTTATAGATATTGTATGAGATTTTAACGATCGCTTTAGTTTGGATCGTTAATCGTTTGTTTGTTCAAAATACTGTTTTGGCTTGCACAAAAAAGATAAATGGTAGGAAAGTTAAAGTCTAGCACTTGCGTCGGCCTTTGACCTACTGCTCTTCGATCCTTTTTCGAGGTGATTCGAATGTCTACTTAAAATTTACGCTATTATTATCGTTGACGCAAAATGATTGTCACAAGAACTAGTGTGGGAGGCCCACGTCAATATCGGAAACTTAATACGGTGCCGGCCATGGCACGCTTGTTCGATTATCGTGACACCGACTTCGTTTTCATGTTTTTGCCGAGCTTTGGTTTGGCCGAGGTGGGAATTAGAAAACACATATAAAGCTTCCTCTCGTACAGACGACGGGAAGCGACTTTCTTTATTACTATGTAGAGAAAAAAAATGTGTGTGTGTGTGTGTGTGTGTGTGTGTGTGTGTGTGTGTGTGTGTGTGTGTGGGTGTGCGTGTGAGTGCGCGTGCGCGTGTGTGTGCGCGTGTGCGTGTGCGTGTATGCGTGTGCATGTGCGTATGCGTGTGTATATTTATTTATTTGAAATTATCCCAAATTGAATGTGATTTACGGGCAACAACTACGTGTATGCGTACCCTAATTTGTAACCGAGTGACCCTGACGAATGTGTGCGTGCTTAGTAAAATAGTATATTATGTAGAATATATTTTTAATATATAATATTAATGAGAACGATGTTTATTTGAAGACCCATTTTACCATATTTCCATATGCAAACACACATATACAGACAGCCTGTGTATATATACAGGCTGTCCCAGAACTCAACGTCAAGCCGAACGGGGTGACAGGATTGATTGTAACCATCACCAGAAAAAATCCCACCTTTAAAAAAAATTGTACTAAAGTGCCTTGGCAAGTACCATTAAAAGTTTGCGCAATTAATCAGGATTGTAAAATGGTAAAATACTTGTTAGTTTCATACTAAAAACAACTAGTAAAAAAATAAAAACCTCGGGTAACCCGATTTTTGCTAACCCATTTTACTCAGTTCAAATGTTTTTATTCGCATAAGCTCTTGGTAGGTTCTTAATTTTACGGCAAAATGATGAGAGAAATTGATAGTGGACATGTTTTCCATGAGCGAATGAGACAGATAGTGACGCCACGCAATGAAACGGAGATTCGTCTAACACAAGTTAGTACGTTTTGCTCATTCGTCTACTTTCCGTATGCACCTTTCCGTATTCGCTTGTGTTGATTTAGTACTGAAAACTTTGGTTTCTCTTTTTGGACTTGGATTTTTGTGAATTCGACTTTCGTGTTGGCATCCTTGTTATCTACCATGCCTACGTGCTACACTTCACAAGAATATGCGAACATGCTGCATATTTATGGGAATGCAGATGCAATGCAAGTGCCGCCGTTAGACTTTATCGTGAAAGATATCCAAATTTAGAGCGCTATCAGGATCACCGCGTGTTTGTTAATGTGCACCGTTCACTCACGGAGGGCGACCATTTCCCGAATCAAATACGGGCTAGAGCTCGCTTTCCTTACTAGGAAGAAGTGTTGCAAGAGGTCGCAGATGACCCAAGTATTTCCATTCGTGGAATTGAAGAAAGAACGGGAATACCCAAAAGCACATCATATCGTAATTAAAAACAATATTATCTTTCATTTTACTTCAATATACCTACGTTATAAAATAACATTCACAAGTAAGGCCACAATTTTTTTTTTAACCAAAATCGTAAAAAATCAAGGTGGGCGGTTAATTGTGCCGCTGAGTTTACTTTACAAAGAGCTAAAATGCATTCGTTTCACGTACAACGAGTTCAAAGTCTTCTTTCTTGAGATTATCCTGAAAGGATTTCATTTTGTAGAACAATGCTACAGAGGCATAATGAAAATCCCCAATTCATCCAAAAAATTCTCTGGTCAGATGAATCTACATTTAAAAAAGATGGTTACATAAACTTATATAATTTTCACGAGTGGCATGTGGCGAATCCACATTTAATGCGAGAAGACAGATCCCAGTATCACTTGAAAGTAAGCCTGTGGACCGGAATTTTAAACGGCAAAATTGTTGGGCCTTTTGAGCTGCCTGAGAACTTGAATGGCACGAATTACCTACATTTTTTACGAGAAAATTTACCAACTTTGTTAGAGGACGTACCACTAACAGATCGTCGCCACATGTGGTATCAACAAGATAGCTGCCCAGCGAACTACGCAGCGCAAGTAAGAGATTTCCTTGACCAGGAACATCCGGGAAGGTGGATTGGACGTTCAGGTACTATCTCGTGGCCAGCCCGTTCCCCAGATTTAAATCCCATGGATTTTTTTTATTCGGCGTTCTCAAAGAAAAAGTTTATTCAAAGCCCATTGACAGCGTAGCCGAGCTGCGTGAACGAATATCTCAAGCTGCTGAAGATATCAACTCTCGAGGATATGCCCGACTAATAACTAGATCTTTTTTTAATAAGATGTAGGGCGTGTATTGAGGCTGATGGTAAACAATTTAAACATTTATTGTAATAAAAAATGTTATTTCCCTATCTGACTTTTATTCCAATAAACCTAAACTAAATTAGGTCAAGATTTTACATTATTTTATTAATTTTACTTACTTTTGTTGACTTTGGTAAAAGTGGCGTCACTATTTGTCTCGGTCGCTCATGGCCAACATGTCCACTATCCATCTCTTACATCAATAAAAAAATCATTTGAATAAAAAACATTTGAACTGAGTAAAATGAGTTAGCAAAAATCGGGTTACTTGAGCTTTTTATTTTTTTACTAGTTTTTTTTAGTATGAAACTAACAAGTATTGTACCATTTTACAATCCTGATTAAATGCGCGAACTTTTAATGGTACTTTTACGTGGTAGAGCCATGCTGCAGCTATATTAGTAGTAAAGTTGTAGCACGAATGGGTCGGCTCGACCGGGGAAGAACCACGCTCCCACAGAATACCAGCGTCAAATAGCAGCTTCATGCTGCTATGTTTCGTATGGTGTAGAGAACCGGAGATCCTTTTTACTGGAAAAGAGGCATACTATCTTAGTCCTCACGGGTGACAACGTATCTGCATTTTGATTCGCAAACGAGGATAAATGTAGATGTCTATGGGCCACAGCAACCACTTACCATCAGGTGGACTGTGTGCTCGTTTGTCACCCTATCCTATACAAAAAAAAACTTGCCAAGGCACTTTAGTACATTTATTTTAAAGGAGGGCCTTTCAAAGTCGACAAATTTTGAAAATTTTAGATTCATAGTTTAACAAATAGTCTTAATTCTAGAAAACTTGGGGCAGTTGTGTCATTATTTTTGACTGTGGTTCTAGAAATGTTATTTAGGGTTACGGTTCCAAAGTTTAAATGAATAAAAATAATAAAAATTAACCACAATAACCGAAAAATGGTTACAGTTTGACCAAATTTCTAGGTTTTTCTTAAATGCCCATAATTACCAAACTGCATGGGATAGACTTTTTTTCTGATTTTTCTCATGATGGTCACAATCAATCCTCTCACCCCGTTTCGGCTTGACGTTGAGTTCTGGGCCAACCTGTATATCATCATCATCATCATCATCATCATCATCATTACAGCTTTTTATAAGTCCACTGCTGAACATAGGCCTCCCCCAATGAATGCCACAAAGCACGGTCCTGAGCCACCTGCATCTATCGAATTCCTGCATGTCTTACCAGGTCGTCACTCCGTCTCGTGGGGGGACGCCCTACACTTCGCCTACCGGTACGAGGCTGCCACTCGAGAACCTTTCTTCCCCATCGGTTGTCGGTTCTTCGAGCTATATGGCCGGCCCACTGCCACTTCAGGTTACTAATCCGTTGGGCTATGTCGGTTACTCTGGTTCTACTGCGGATATACTCATTTCTAAGTTTATCACGCAGAGAAACTCCGAGCATAGCTCTCTCCATAGCTCGCTGAGCGACCTTGAGCTTCCTCTTACGGCGAACAGTGAAGTCATCACTGGCAACACGCACTGGTTGTACAATTTCGTTTTAAGGTTTTGAGGTATGTCTGACGAGAAGATGTGTCGTAGCTTCCCGAACGCTGCCCAGCCGAGTTGAATCCGTCGATTGACCTCTCGGTCGAAGTTGGACTTACCTAGTCGGACTATTTGTCCCAGGTAAACATACTCGTCAACAACTTCAAGCTTAGTGCTCCCAACAACTACCGGCATAGGGTGTGACATGGACGTTAAACATGATTTTTGTTTTGTCCATGTTCATCTTAAGACCTATCCGTTGGTAGACACTATTGAGGTTATTGAGCATAGTGCTTAGGTCCTCCAGCGATTCTGCCATAAGGACTATATCGTCGGCAAATCGAAGGTGAATGATGTACTCGCCATTGATGTTAATACCGCATCCTTTCCACTCCAGTAGCTTGAAAACGTCTTCCAATGCAGCGGTGAAGAGTTTCGAGGATATAACGTCACCCTGTTTCGTACTCTGATTTGTACTCGGATAGCCATCGTAGCTCTACTGTAAAAACACTTCAGCACTTCGATATACCGACAGTCAACTTGGCACCGCTGAAGGGACTGCAGCACCGCCCAAATTTCGACGGAATCAAAGGCTTTCTCATAGTCCACATACGCAAGGCAAAGTGGCAGATTGTACTTACTAGATTGTACATACTTTAATATTAAGTAGGTATGTTTAAAAAAACAGAAGAAACAATTCGCTAACTCCGTCTCACTCGTCGGATGTCGTTGCCCCCGTTCTATGTTACGAGTATGTTATCTTAAGCAAAGTATTATAACTGGAAGTCCTATGTTATACCAAAAAGTGTTAATTACGTGAGGGTAATATGGTCAATTTCTTAGAACTCAAAAACTACAGCGTTGTTTGCATAGGTGACTCTGTGATAGCACTTTATAAGTCAATCAAATAATATAGGGTCAAAAGGGCGCTGCTTTATCGACGCCATTTTGACAGTTGAAAATATCGTAAATATTTTAGTCGATTTTAGTATTGTGTAGTGTAGTTAGTTTTTTATAAATTGATTTGATTATTGGCAAAGCTTGTTTGCTATTTTTTTCTTAATATATTAGTTATAGTATACGACTTTGTGTTTTTGTCTCCGTCCTCATCCTTGTTTTAGTTTTACACGGCGGTAAAGCTTAAGGTGGCCATATTACCCTCACGTAAGTACTTAGTATATATTACAGTTTTACTAGGTTTTATTTGTCTATTACCATTTATGCCTCATTCTGCCTTATCTTTGCTCCCTCATACATATATATATATATATATATATATATATATAAAGTTGCAGCGTGGCTCTACCATGTTGTACCGCGCCCAATAATCAAGGTAAACCCTTAAACAACTCACCAAACGGATCGTCCTTAGCGAATGCTCCCACAGGCTTGCCGGATATGGCGGTAGTAATCCAGGGCACGTATTGATGCAGCCGGATGTGACGCGATGGTGGCGTGTGACCTCGAGAGCGCAGAGGATCTGGGCACGGCGTTCCTCCTACGAAAATAAATTGACTGGCCGTCGGTGCTGGTGATAAGAGGCCTGGTTATCTTCGTGCTCAAAGGCTAAGTATAACCATTAGAGGAAACGCATCCAGCGTTGTTAGCACTATACCGCGGGGAGTAGGACTGTATGATAATTAACGTTTTCTTATTATGGTCTTTTATATTGTATAATACAATTATTTGAATGTTATGATAATAAATACAAGATTACTTTTCAAAGAGTGGCCAAATTTTAAACTTAAGTTCAAATATACTATTAATAATGATATACTTTTATATGAAATTATCTCACATTTAATGTGATTTATGGGCAACATGGATTTTGCCTACCGATCGACCATAAAGCCGATATTAAACGGATCAATCCAATTAAAACAATTCCATTGAAAACCATTTAACATTGCCCATTGAACGGCTTTATCAATATACACGTAAATCATTTAAATAACATTCAATGTTCAGAGCGCAATGAGATGTCGCGCCAACTCGTACGTGCGGGAATATTAGTTAAAAAAATTAAATTAAATAATAAAAAAAAAGAAAATCTCAGCGTTGGTGGGCGCGCCCTTGGATTTGGAGCCTCAAGCACCTTATTAGTAGAATTGGCAGAATAAGTCCCAATTTCATATTTAAATTGTCCTCTTCAGTGACACCATCAATATTTAAATCTTCCTTCAGTGATCTTATAGCATTATCACGCTGATTTCTATCTTTGTAAGACTTTGATTTTGTATTCCACAAACACGGAAACGTTGCAAAAATAGCGGAACATAAATGTCACGCCACTTGAAAACCATTTTCGCATAGATTACGCGCAGGCGAAATGAGTGCGCGTACGTACGCTTCGCTGTCGTGCGGTGCGCGGAATGAGTCACCGTTCAATCTTCATGCATGCACGTTTTCAACCGCATTGAACAATGACCAATATTGCTACCATTGCATTGAAAGCGTTGGGTGAACTAAAGCTTCCAATGAGATTGCGCAATCGTATTGAAATGTATTTAGATGTCTCAATACCATTGAAGCAATGAAATTGAAAGTAGTATTGAATCGAAATTGATCCGTGTAATATTAGCTTTACGTGCGCAATAAAATTAGTTCAAACAATGCATTACCACGCATTTTGAATTTAAAAGATAAAAGGACAGAATGTTTTAGATTTTTTTTTATTAACATTTCTTCACCATTTGCCTATATTACTTTTTTTTATAGAATAAGAATGACAAACGAGCACACAGTCCATCCGATGGTAAGTGGTTGCTGCGGCCCATATACATCTACATCTATCTTCGTTTGCGAATTAAAATGCAGATGCGTTGTCTAAGATAGAATGCCCCTTTTCCAGTAAAAAGGGTCTCCGGTTCTATACACTCACCATACGAAACGCAGCAGCATTAAGCTGCTATTTTACGCTGGTATTCAGTGAGAGCGTGGTCCTTCCCCGGTCGAGCCGACCCATACGTGCTACAACTATACTATTAATATAGCTGCAGCATGGCTCTACCACGTATAAAATTACGAACCTTTACTATAACTATTGCGAACCCTTTCTGCAAATTTGGCCGGTTATTGGAAAATAGCCCTATATGTTTATTTTAATAAATTGTGAGAAAGTGTAATGGCGGTGTAAGAATATCCACTACCTCATATCATCCGGTGGGTGTCGTAAGAGGCGACAGAGGGAAACAAACCAGGAGATGGAAATGGTTTTCCCAATAAAGACTAGACGTGCCTGGAAACTATCACAAATGTCCCTTTATGTGGCAATCTACGGATACGCCTTTGTTCAGTGGATTTTGATAGGTGAATGAATGACAGAGGGCTAATGGGTTAGAGTGAGAACTAAAAACTCGGAAAGTTGTAGGTTTTACCCACCATTCGACTACTGTCGTGAAGCAATCTTAACACAAGTAAATATTACTGGTAAATCCAATGTGCATGCCCATTTAAAAAAAAATACGTAGAACATTATTTTTTAAGTAAAAATAGCAATTAATCGATTCAAAAATAAATATTAATAAGTTCAAAAATCATTTATCTTACTGACAATGTGCTTTTAAAGAAATAGGTACATGAATCTACACTTTACACGCCTATTCCATGGTGATTGAACTTATGTATATGCACTTATACCAAAACCACTGCTTACCTTCGGATAGCGCCACAATATTCCAGTGACCAGTTTCCTCGTGGAAGAGACTTGGGGCTCCAGATTGTAAGTCGCATCCAGTGGTGCATAAGAAGCGCTCTTGCGGCAAGTAGGTCTTGTTCTGGAAAGTTCTTTATTTTATACTGTTTGTAAAGTCTTTAATACAACCAGTATTGCGTTATGTTTTTTTTTATTAATTAAAGTGAAGTAACAAACGAACATACAGCCTACCTGATGGTAAGTGGCTTCTGCTGTCCTTTAACAACTGTAGCCTACCTCAAACTTAAAAATCTATAGATGCGTTGTCACCTCTGAGAGCTAAGATGGACTGCGTCACAGCCTGTTATTACATTGGCCCTTAATTTTGCGGCAAAAATAGGCAAAATAGTGGCACATACAGACTGACTTTTATATATTAGATAGAAAAAGAGTATATGCTGATCCAGTGCATGTTAGCGAACTTCTCTTTTCTTTTATAGGAGAGATATGATGGTGACTACCGCCGCCCATGAACAACTGCAATACCAGGCGAATCGCAGCTGCGTTGCCGACCTTTTAGAAAGTACTAAGCTCTTTTCTTGAAGGTCCCTAAGTCGCATAATGTCTCAATTTCTCGGAATAAATTTTATTGCTTTTCCAAGCTTGGGGGATCTGCAGCTACAAATGTTTACCTAACCTTACCTAAGTTAAAAAAAGTTAAAGTTACAGCCTATATACGTCCCACTGCTGGGCACAGGCCTCCTCTTATTTTTTTTGAGAGGGTTTTAGGGCAAGGAAGTGTCCAATGCGTGTTGGCGAACTTCACATGTCTTTGAAATATTATTTTTCTATTATTTCTCAGACATGCAGGTTTCCTCACGATGTTTTCCTTCACCGCCGAGCACGTGGTAAATCAGCACTTAAAATTACAATTAACAATTTCATTGTTGCCGGCGGGGATCGAACCCGGGTTGCTCGCGTACTTTGAAATTTACAGCGAGCGCTAACCATCTGAGCTACCCCGGCCTAGTTAACATAATAATAATGTAGCTAACCTAGTTAATATAATGGTAAATGTAGTTTTATGTGTAAATTTTTCTTAATAAAAAAAAATCTTACATTAGGGTGATCATATAAGTAACAATCTTCGCCAGTCAATGTTGCCAAGAACATAACTTCTTTTTCTTCTTCCACAAAATCCCGAGGGACCTCTGAAATGAAGAAGACTTTAAGTTCGGTTTACTTCGTGTTTCGTAATGTGTACAGAAAATGAGTAGAATAATTTGCCAGCGTCTGTATTTCCGTCTGAATACAATCTGGACAAGTCAAGAGTAGGCTTTTCTAACGTGGTAGAGCCACGCTGCAGCTATATTAGTAGTATAGTTGTAGCACGAATGGGTTGACCCCACCGGAAAAGGACCACGCTCTCACAGAATACCAGCGTTAAATATCAGTTTAACGCTGCTGTGTTTCGTATGGTGAGTGTAGAGAACCGGACACCCTTTTTTAATTTAAACTAGGCATTCCATCTTAGTCCTCACGGGTGACAACGCATCTGCATTTTGATTCGTAATCGAGGATAGATGTAGATGTCTATGGGCCACAGCAACCACTTACCATCAGGTGGACTGTGTGCTCGCTGGTCACCCTATTCCTATTAAAAAAAGGCTACTGTTACGCTAAGACAGTGCGATTTACCATTTAGATCTTCATCACCACTCACTACCATATGGGATTGTGGTTGAACACTGGCTCATAATAAGTTAAAAAAAAAGTAGCAAGAACGAGAACGAAAGAAGGAAGAAATATTAATTTTAAAAAATTAATAATATTAATATCATTTAAATTTGTTTCAATCAAAAAGGAAAAGTTTTATAGTAATACAGTAAAACCCATTTGATTTTCAACATGCACGAACTAATGTTCACGTTATTTATGCCAAACGTGTAAGCAACTCATCTTGCTTACACCGCCATCTCTCAGTACAAGGCTACACTACACTACGCGAACCGTAACAGAGCAAAGCTTTAAGGCCAAGAACGCACTAGGGGCGGGCCGTGATGCGGCTGGCCGTTGCGGCAGACCGCAGTATATACGGTCTGATTTGGATAGATTGTCAGTACATTAATCATTGTTATATGATTAGTATAAGGACAAACAAACAAATGACTCAGATGCAGTCATATTATTGATTTTTATGTTTAATGATGTTAATTTGGTTTTAATGGTTTTAAGTGTGATTAATAATTTTAATTTAATATAATTCAATTTTATTTTAATTTAATACATATGTAATTCAAAATTTAAATTTCATTTCAAATGTAACTATGATCTGATGGATTGAAATAAATGATTATGGGGTATTTGTATAGTTTTCTCATCTGGTTGGGCTGTATAAATATATCATTGAAAATGAAAATGATAAACTTACATAAATATCAATAAAATAAAATAAATACATAAAAATTACATAAATATATAAAAACCCAACCAGATGGAAGCCCTCGGCAGGGGGGACAAGACGGCCGAGGGTTAGGGGGAAAGGGAAAGAAACCGGCGGACGATGCGGGCGGTATCGAGGAGCACCGCCTTCTGCATTTGAGCCTGGAGCGGTCCGTCACGGAGTCCCAGTCGCCTCAGATGACCCGGGAGGCTGACTGGGATTAACCCGTTCGCAGAAACGACCACAGGAATAATTTCGGCCGGCAGACCACCCCACATGCCGGTAACCTCGTGAGCCAGGTCCAGATATTTTGTCACCTTATCTGTTTCGGCTTTCACGAGGTTCTCGTCATAAGGAATGGTAATGTCGACCAAAAAGATCCTTGACTGTGCCCGGTCCATCAGCACAATATCAGGCTTATTCGCAAGAATAGTCCTGTCTGTGATGATGGCCCGGTCCCAGTAGAGCCTGGCGCGGTCATTTTCGAGCACGGCTTCCGGCAAGTACTTATAATACGGCAGTTTCCGATCCACGAGGCCGTATTTCAGAGCGAGCTCCTGGTGTAGAATCCTGGCTACTAGATTGTGTCTGTGCAAATACTCAGAGTTAGAAAGCGCCGAACAACCGGAGATGACATGCCTAAGTGACTCACCGGGATGGCGACAAGCTCGACAGATGTCGACGGCGCCATCCTTTAGGATGTATCTCCGATAATTGTTGGTCTTAATAACCTGATCCTGTATCGCACAGACAAAACCCTCGGTTTCCCCAAAGAGGTCACCGAAACGTAGCCAGTGAAGGGAGGCGACTGTGTCTACGAAAGGCTCATGTAGAGCCTTGTAGAACCTCCCGTGGAGCTCCTTCTCCTTCCATACGGCCTCCCGGTCGGAAATGCACTGTACTGCTGGGTCTTGCCATTGCTCGTTGGCTAAGGATAGAGGGGTCAGTCCTTTATCACAAGAAATAACGTCCCTATAGTATGGATCATCCGCTCTCGTCAGAAAGTAATTACGGAGGTTGCACACTTCGCGATTATGCATGGTAAGCGCGCTTAAAAAGCCGCGCCCACCATGCTTCCGCGGCAAGTACAGCCTCATTACTGACGATCTCGGATGATGCATCCTGTGGGACGTCATTATAGTGCGGACTTTTCGGTCCAGAGCGTTTAGTTCGGTCTGAGTCCACCTAAGTATCCCAAAGGTATACATGAGAACAGGCATGACCCAACCGTTATATGCGTGCGTCTTATTCACACCGGACAAAAGGCTGTTAAGCACTTTGGTCAAGCGTGCATAAAACACATCGCAAACTGACTGTTTCATACCCGCCTCATCTACACCGATGTTCTGTGACATACCCAGGTATCGTTATGTTTCAGCCTCGGAAAGGGTCCTTATGTTGATGGGCATAGATAAATCTATGCCCTCAGAGTTAGCAACCCTTCCCCTTTCAACATGGAGGACCGCACACTTATCCGTCCCCAGCTCCATTCTAATAGAATTGCTAAAATCACAAGTGATGTTTAGCAATTCCATAAGATGAGAGCGACTGGAGGCGAATAACTTGAGATCATCCATATAGAAAAGGTGGGTCACTTTTGTACCTCCCTTCCGAAGCTGAAATCCCCTGCCGGAGCCCTCCAGTAAGGTACTGAGAGGGTTAAAAAATAAATAAATGATTATTATTATTATTATTACGGTCTGCCGTAACGGCACGCCGTATTCCGACTAATCGCATCATCTCTGTTCTATTGCGCTTCGCCGTAATCGTCAGTGCTTCGAGAAATACTGGACATAATGGACGTCGAAGAAGTTGCTGCAGTTATTCATTTATGTCGATTCTAATATGTTCGATTTGAATCGAATCGAAGATCGATTTTTCTATAAGCGAATCAACAGGTCTGGCTTGCGGCTAACGAAGCTGTGCGTGGAGGGGCTGCGGCGCGCTTCATCATTCGACTGGTGCGGTTGACGGCTGGCCGCAAGTCAGTGCGTCGATATCATGTGGTTTCATATAAAAATTGAAGTGCGGCCTGCCGCATCACGGCCAGCCGCTAGTGGGTTTCTGCGCTTATCGTAAAAATATAATATACATACCGCTAGCAAAATCTACGTAAGTCAAAATTCCATAAAGTTGTTTTCCATTTCTTTCGAGGAAATTCCTGTAGGGCAAACAGCCAGGCAGCATGTACTCTGAAACAATTTAAAAATCAATTTAAAAATAGGGTTAGGAACATTGAAGTAATATGTACTACGTTTTCTTTTTAAAGATAAGGTTGACAAACGAGCACACAGTCCATCTGATGATAAGTGGTTGCTGTGGTCTATAGACATCTACGTCTATCCACGATTACGAATCAAAATGCAGACGCCTTGTCACCCGTGAGGACAAAGATTTAATGTTTCGTTACCAGTAAAAAGTGTCTCCGGTTCTCTACACTCGCCATACAAAACACAGCAGTGTTAAGCTGCTATTTTACGCTGGTATTCTGTGAGCGCGTAGTCCTACGTACTAGAATAGTACTAGAACTTACTAGAAGTGACGCCGAGACTTTGTCGTTAGCAACGCATTAGAGCCCATGGGCTCAAACTTACATACTTAGTCTGTGTCTTAAAATGGTATTATGTGCCTCCTTCTACTCGACCCGCACTACCACAGAGATATTATTTGCGGTACATGTTCTAGTACCTACGTAGTACGTTTTATTTCAATGATTAGGACTGTTTTTTATCTAGATTCCGCCTGGAGCAGTAAGTAGTAAGAAAGCCAATATAATCAACTAAAACTCTCAACAACTAACAACAACTAATAACAAATAATGTGTGGTCTTCTTTGTATAAAGCTGGTTGTAGGTACCCTCTAGTTTTTTACCAGTCCATAATTTCTCCGAAGCATCTTCAGAACACTTATTTCGTTTCCTGGATATTGTTAAGGACAACTTTTTTTTTTAAATCTAGAAAGGTGGTATTAAATTTTCCTGCGAATACTTGTTCCGTGCGGGATTCGAACCCGTCGACCCCAGTGCAGCAACTCATTGCTAAGCCACTGCACCACGGAGCCGTCAACAATAAATAAAGTTTTAAACGCTGCAAAAATATCATCATCATCATTATTTTCATTATAAGTCAAATTATTATAATTAATGCCACAAAGTACGATCCTGAGCCACCTGCATCCATCGACTTGCCAAGCCGTCACTCTATCTAGCGAAAGGCCGCCTTAAACTTCGCTTACCGATACGAACTCGAGAACCTTTCTCATCGGCAGTCAGTTCTTCGAGCTCTGTGGCCGTGCCATTGTGACTTCAACTTACTGCTATGTCGGTCACCCTTAGGGTTGCCAGACGTCCTCTATTTCACACTAATTGTCTATTAATTTGAAATCTTTAATAGAGTACAAGGTAATATCGCGCGGATTCGACATTCCCTCTGCTAGTTGAGGTCAAAGAATTTAAATATGACGTTGAAATGACGCGCGATGTTGTCTCTCGACAAATTAATACGTTATTAATATATTTATTTTCTTTTTTTACACGGTTTTTTTTTACTTCCCACCTGATGGTAAGTGGTGATGCAGCACATGGTAAATCACACTGTCTTAACGTAACTAAAGCCTATTCACTCTTGCCTTGAAGTCGCCCAGATTGTATTCGGACGGAAAGATAGACGCCGGCAAATTATTCCACTCCTTTACTCTACGCATTACAAAAGCCGAAGCAAACCTTTTGGTTCTAAATTCTAATTCGTGGAATATCGACAATAAAGGGTGAATACTCGCCGACCGCCTGGTTGTCCGATGGTGGAAGGGAGAGGAAGGAATTAAAGCGTGTAATTCCTGCGCACACTCACCAAAATGCATCCTATAGAATACCGAAAGACTGCCTATTTTGCGCTTGTGCTCGAGGCTGACAAGATTGATTTTATTGAAAACAATATGACATCCTCTATTTTTACCACGTTTTTATCAAGTCGCTTCCTTGTTTGTCTGTCTGTCGTTCCGAGTGGAATTTAGTAATCGATTTTAAACTAACTTCCCGATAAACTGGAAACTTGAAAATTTTGAATATACTTCAAATTCGGATGACAAAGCAAAAATATGATAAAAAAACGTGATAATATTTTTTAATTTATTTTTTATAAAAATTTAATTTTGTTATACTTTGCCTTTTATTTAATCTTATCAAATCTTCTAAAACATAAAACGGTACCTGGCAACCCTATTTCTACTGAGGATATCCTCATTATAAGGTCTATATAATATTGTAAACACATCTTACTTGACTTGACAGGTGTCAGTAATTTCAAAAGAGCGATGCTGCTCTTAATACCGAAGTGCTTGTACTCCGGGTGTAGCAGGACATCCGCGATCGGCATCAGAAGCACAGCTGGGTCACACGGCATCCCGCGCGCTATATCTTCCACTGTCAACATGCACTCCCTCTCATCTCGCTCGTACTGTCCAAACACCACGTTGCCTCTGTATCATTGAAAACATCGATCAGAAAACTGCGAAGTTATTTCACTTAGAAAGTGGTGAGAGAGAAAAAAAAACTTTCATGGACAAGTAAAGTCAGGGTACAAGCCCTCCCCCCCTCGAACGGTATCCCGCCTTTTCGTGGCGGGCTCGCCTTACCCTCCCCGGCCAAAATGTGATTGCCAACAGAGCCATAGACAATATCTGCCGCTAGAGTCAGGAAGGCTGGTGCTTCCAAGTGTTCGATTTTAGTGGCCCCAGCGACCTCCACGTACTCATGGATCATTGCGCAGGGAGAGTTTGTAAAGGAAGTAAGGGAAGGCGCGCCTTGTGTTCTGGTGCGCCTCACTTGAGAGGAAGAAGGGGAGGAGTTGCCCTCTCCCAAAAAAGGCTGCGACCAGAGCCGGCCTGCCGGCGCTGGTGAGGTTGCCGATGTGTGCGAAAGCGTTCCCGTGGCCCTGTCAGTATGCGACGAAGGGGGTTTTAGTCGATGCGAGTCCAGCATTACACGTCTTTACCCCCGCGAGGCAGGTATATATAGACATTTCCCTGTTTAAAAACCAGCTATAAGGGGGAGTCAGGCAATATTTTCTACAAATTCCAACCTTATCATCACATAGTGCAACTTGTTCTTACAAATGAACTCAGGTTATGGACTGATGGCGGAAGATCCATCCCGCTGTACCCAAATTTTACAGACTGTAATATATTTAGCTTAAGTAAGTTTATGGCTTTTTAGAATAGAAAAATAGAACAGAATAGAATAGAATTGAATGAAAATGGAATGGAAAAGAATGGCATGAAAGAGAATGGAATAACATAGAATGTAATAGAATAGAATAGAATAGAAAAGGAGGGAATAGGACAGGATATAATGGAACATAATGGAGTGGATTGGAATTGAATGGAATATAATTAAATGGAATGGATCGGAATAGAATAGGATAGAGTAGAACAGAACAAAATTTAGCATAAAATCATGTGGATACATAGAATAATTAAAAAAATCTTACAGAGCATATCCTTCTGGAACCTGGGCCGCATCCTTCGCCGTGGACAATACAAACTGCTTTGTAATCAGTGACACACGTGGCACTCTGAAGTAATGAGGAGTTCCAGCTTTAACTGAAATAATTATATATCAGAATAGAATAGAATTATTCTTTATTCAGTGTAGATCACATGTATGTAAGTCTTATTCAAAGTCATTTTTTACTTTACAACTGTCTTATTCAAAGTATACATTACTTTGAATAAGACTAGTATACATTGCCCCAATAATGAATTATTCTGTGAAGTCGAAAAACTGGTATCACTAGCTTATGTTTGTTTCTAGTGTTTACACTTTACAGAGTAACACTACCTTTGTGTTTGTGAACATACATTAATCACTAATAATGCTTTATTTCACAAATAAATTTTATGTGTATGTGTGTGTGTGTGTGTGTGTGTGTGTGTGTGTGTGTGTGTGAGTGTGTGTGTGTGTGTAGTACGTGCGTGCGTACGTGTGTGCGTGCGTACGTGTGTGCGTGCGTGCGTGCATGCGTGTGTGTGTGTGTGTGTGTGTGTGTGTGTGCGCGCGTCCGTCGCCTCTTACGATACCGTGGGTATCGGGTATTAGGGTACCATGGGAAACAGGAGATGAGCAACAGCATTTTCCTGATAACAACTCAAATTAAAAAACTGCGGTTGCCAATTATACAGGGTTATTTTGCAATAACAGGCCAAAATTACAGAGAATTTAGAATAAGTAATATAGGCAAACGGCGAAGAAAAATTAATTAAAGAAAATAGCAATAATTCTGTCCTTTTTATCTATTTAATTCAATTTGCGTGGTAATGCATTATTTTAACTGATTTTACTGCGCACGCACACATTCAGGGTCGATCAGTAGGCAAAAATGTTGTTGCCCATAAGTCAAATTCAATTTGGGATAATCTATACAAATAAATAAAATTAGTGTCTGTTTGTAATGTTAAAATAACAGCTTTTTGCAATATGCATATGAAAGTATATATGCTACTAATAACAAAAAATTATTTTTAAACTTTTTGTCTGTCTGTCTGTCTGTTCCAGCTAATCTCCGAAACGGCTGGACCGATTTTGACGGAACTTTCACTGACAAACAGCTGATGTTATAGGGAGTAACTTAAGACACTTTTATTTTAGAAAAAGTATTAGGGTCCCGTGCAAAAAAATTAAAACCCATGAAATCGTAGTAAATTCCACGCGGGCGAAGTCGCGAGTTACAGCTAGTTTGAAATAAAAGTAGAAGCCTTATTTACTCGTATTTTCAAAAACTGCAATAACGGTATATCATTATTTATATATTTGAACTTAAGTTTAAAATTTGGCTACACTTTGAAAAATAACCCTGTATGTAACCATGTATACTATATTTTAGCTATTCAAAATTAATTGACTGCTTAGTTAAGCGTAAAGCATAGCTAATTATTGTAAGTTTCGTAAAAAGCAATTATAAAAAATCTTAAAGTGATAGATGTGCCATCAGCTATATTTTCTCCTACTCATCACTAAAGTCCCATTAAAGGTTCCTCCTGTTGTCGGTTTTACGCCTGGCGTAAAGAAACGTCACGCCGTCCATTGGAAACCATTAGACCTTTCTGGCATTTTCTATAGTCGTCTCTAACAACACCCGTGGGACCAAATGGGGTGATGGATACTTTTACACCTCCACCATATAACATCATCATCATTCATCATCCATCATTACAGCCCTTCACAAGGCCACCTGCATCCATCGACATCCTGCATATCTTACCAGGCCATCACTCCATCTAGTATGGGCCGATCTACACTTCGCCTACCAGTACTAAGTTTTCGCTGGAGAACCTTCCTTCCCCCTCGGTTGTTGGTTCTTCGAGTTATAGTGGCCCATTGCCACTTCAGCTTAATTAGCTGGACTATGTCGGTTACTCTTTTTCTACTGCGTATATCCTCATTTCTAAGCAGAGAAACCATATAAGGTAACATAACAGAAACGCTCACGCCTGTCTCCCAAATGGGTAGGTAGAGAATACGGATTCTATTCGACATGGTCTTCATACACCTCTATAGGATACAGTCATATATACCAGATATATACACTAGATTTGATAGACCACAAATCCTCGCTAAAGAACACCGATTCCTTCCAAAGATGATTCGCGAGGCTATTGAAATCAAAAAACATCCTAATTTGAATAAAGAAGATAGCTGAGTGCTACCATCTGCTTGTGAGCCTATAATTAATAAAATTAAATCCCAACCCAAGCATACAACTGCAAGACTTCAAGATACTGTAAGTTCATACTGTGTAAATTGGAAAAATAAAATAATTTTAATCTGGAGGTAGCCGTGGTTGACTATGACATTGGGAAGTCAAACACGTCAGTCCCCCCCGTGACCATGGGTGTTGTAAAGTGCCCGAAACGTCGAGAATATAAAATAAGTTAATATACGTGATAAAATCCGTAAAACTAGTTTTATTTAAATGTGTAATGTTCGCGTACATATAAGAAATCATTAAGGCGATACCCCGACCAAAACCTTGCGATAGTGCGTTTTTCTTCGTTATTCAGAGACTCAGATCTCATTAGTTATGAGAAATAAACTACATCTGAAAGCACATTATTAATGTTCGATATCCTATCACAATATTCCACGTTTTAATTTATTTTTGTGTTATAAATACATTTAAAATCTACTTTTAAAAATGGCTACAATTATTGATTACATGCATCTGTTGCTGAAGGCAACGCTCTAATCATTTGAGGATTACACTAATGGATAGATAATTTACAAATCTATATTATTCACGTTTTATTTAATTTTTAAAGTTAGCTTTTCTTTTTTAATAAAAATTAATTCCAAAAATTGTGTGAATTCTATGATAAATGGGCGCATGCGGAGTGCGGGCGGCAGTGCACTGCACGCTCAAGCTTATTTGTTCAGGGTAACACCTTAACATCAATTTTACAGACTTCTGGAATTCCAGACTTCTACGCCCGCTATGCGTGGCTATTAGGGACAAATTCGTCCTACTTTTGTAAAGACTCGTAGAAATAGACTATTTAGAATTGATGAAAAGGACAGGTAGCTTATTTAGTTCTCTAGTTCTAACCCTTATGGAACTTAATTTTTCATCAACTACCAGACCTTTATGAAGAGATTAATATTTAATCTAATGCAAAAATCTTCTATTCTATTCTATTCTATTATAAAAAGAATTAGGGTTTCACGCAAAAATATGAAAAACCTCAATTACACACGGGCGATGTCGCGGGAAACAGCCTATTTGGTCATAAAGCTTCTCCGAGTTGCGGGATGTTGGCGGTGTACAAACCGTGGCTCGGAAGCTCAAAATGCACGTAAATCCATTGGCCCTGTGCCTGATCCCTCTGCGGTCGTGTCGGGCTGCCGTCCCATCGGACTAGAGAGTGAGGGAATAGAGAGTGCATCTGGGCTTGCGCACACATTCGAACCCTATAATCGTAGGATATGAGCGGTAAATAGAACAGATACTGCAGTGTTTACTATACGAAACACTACAGTATCTGTTATTTGCCGCTCATATTCCGTAATAGCTTGTTTTTCCTACGATCGGTAGATCATTTATGGTGCATAACACAACTTAAACAACGTGAAGAGTTCTAAATTTTTAATTTATTTTTATTATTTGTTTTTATAGCGGCAACAGGATTGCACATTCTGTGAAAATTTTAACTGTCTACCTATTACGGATCATGAGATACAGCACGCTGACAAACAAGACAGACGGACAGCGGATGCTAAGTAATAGAGTCCCGTTGGTTACCCTTTGGGTACGGAACCCTAAAAGTGGCGATTTTAAAGCATTACAACTTCTGTTCTATCCTTTAAATATTTCTTAAATCTATCCTTCCAAGCTACTAATCAACTAAACTAAGCATAGAAATCTTTACTGTGAATATACTGCAAGGCCCCAAGCCAAGTAAACTGCAGCTCTGATAGTGGACCTTCCTCAGGATCGAAGGCGGCATCATCGTGGCAGTCGAACATATGGCATAACACGCAATAAACACCTACAAAAGAACAAACTAGGTTAAGTACCAAACTTCTTTACCGTGTAGTGGCGGTGTAAGCTACCACTACCCCATATCATACTGTGGGTGTCGTAAGACGCGACAGACGGAAACAAACCAAGATATGGGCAGCAGCGTCTTCCTAATAACTTTTTTTTATAGGATATGGTGAGAAACGAGCACACAGTCCACAGTTACTGCGACCCATAGACATCTACATCTATCCTCAATAAAGACTCAAGATGCAGATGCGTTGTCACCCGTGAGGACTAAGATGGAATGCCTCTTTGCCAGTAAAAAGGGTCTCCGGTTCTCTACACTCACCATACGAAACACAGCAGGGTTAAGCTGCTATTTTACGCTGGTTTTCTGTGAGAGCGTGGTCCTTCCCCGGTCGAGCCGACCCATTCGTGCTACAACCATAATATAGCTGCAGCATAGCTCTACCAACTACTAACTACTAAAGATAAAAAACTGCGGGTGCCAACCCGCATGCCAAGCGGCAAATATCCCTTTGAGGCAATCTATGGGGGAGGCCTTGTTCAACAGTGGACTGTTATAGGCTGTGATGGATGAATGTACAGAAGATAATCCACCAGGAGCACATGACGCAGTGAGAGCTGGAATTTTTAAATCAACAGTAACGTTACAACTATTGCAAATATCTTTTCCCTATGAGGCAATCTATAGAGGAGGAGTCGTATGTTCAGTAGTGGACTTTTATAGGTTGAGATGGATGTACAGAAGATAATCTACCAGGAGCACATAACACACAGAGAGATGAAATTATTAAATCAACAGTAACGTTACAACTATGGCAAATATCCTCCCTATGAGGCAATCCTATGGTGGAGGCCTATGTTCAGCAGTGTACTTTATAGGCTGTGATGGATACACAGAAAGTAATCTACTAGGAGCACATGACGCACTGAGAAGTGAAATTATTAAATCAACAGTAATGTTACGACTATGGCAAATATCCTCCCTATGAGGCAATCTATGGGGGGAGCCTATGTTCAGCAGTGGACTTTAATAGGCTGTAAGTGTAACGGTATAAGGAATCGTGTGACGGTGGGTTTCAAGCCGAAAATTCCTTTTGCATTATGATATTATATGTAGTAAGAGGCGGCAATTTCACTCTAGAGGGTCCAAGGCAGAAATCCATACTACGCAACTGACTCCATAGCGCAGTGGCTAAGTGTTTAGAAGCCACACATCACACAATTTTTCCGGATCTTGATGCTTGTAAATGTGCGATTTATTTACCAAAAACAAAAAAGAATATATAGATACTGTGGCCTAGTACTTTTTTTATCGTGGGGAAATCCTCATGGATACCTTCTGTTGCGGGGGCAACGGAAAGGTTATGCCGGACTCCTACCGGCCAAAACCCCACGGTGGTCTTCATCAGCGTATATGAGGGGTCTCGGGATCTCCGTTCGGAATGCAACCGGGGCCCCTCTCACGCTTTGCTCTATTAAAGCACGTCCCCGGGGCAGTCCTTACTACCCCCAGCACCTTCGCAATGCTATCACGGTACTCGAGACCTAGATACTATTTTTTTTTTAATTATTTACCTACACTTCCCCATTTATAGGTAATTTGGCAAAAAACACACTAGAATGTTAATTTTTCTATATTTTTTAGTTGTTTATGTTCAAAGAACGTTATGTAGGATAAGTCTTTTCATTTAATGTGATAAAATTATCGTCCCCCCGTATAAAATAAGGGTGACAAACGAGCACACAGTCGACCTGATGGTAAGTGGATGCTGTGGCCCATAGACATCCACATTAATACTCAATTAAGTATTAAAACCACCCTTGAGGCCTAATATGGAATGCCTCGTTACCCGTAAATGGGGTCTCCGGTTCTCTATATTCACCATACGAAATACAGCAGCATTAAGTTGCCATTTTACGTTGATCTTCTGTGAGAGCATGGTTCTAACCTCAATCGAGCCATCCCATTCATGCTACAACCACAACATAGCTGCAGCGTGGCTCTACCACGTAAATACTATGGTCGTAACATTATAAAAAATAAAAATCCAACTTAACATAAAGTATCAATTAATTAAACAGTTATAACTGGTCATAATAGTCAAATATTAAAAAGAAGTTTTGTAGTAATTCCAAAATCAAAAACTTACCGTTAAAAACAATAAGAAACACTAAAAATGTCCTGAACATTTGACACCTCTAATAGAACGGACAAATCAATACTGGCCATAAAAGAAATAATTTAAAACTGTTTACTAACTCATTCTTGTTTCCACCTAAAGAATGCACTGTTTTCAAACCACTGACTGTTTGCGTAAAGAAAATGTGAAGCACGTTCCTATTTCATACATAATTTACTTTCCCTAAATTGCCGATTATTAATAGCAATTCTCCCAACTTTTGTATAACATCTTGGGAAGGAAATAATACCTAAAAATAGAAATAGAAACTATTTTATTCAATCATCATCATCATCATTACAGTCTTTCACAAGTCCACTGCTGAACATAGGCCTCCCCCAAGGAATGCCACAAAGCACGGTCCTGAGCCACCTGTATCCATCGAATTCCTGCATGTCTTACCAGGTCGTCACTCCATCTCGTGGGGGGTCGCACTACACTTCGCCTACCAGTACGATGCTGCCACTCGAGAACCTTTCTTCCCCATCGGTTATCGATTCTTCGAGCTATATGACCGGCCCACTGCCACTTCAGCTTACTAATCCGTTGGGTTATGTCGGTTACTCTTGTTCTACTGCGGATATCCTCATTCCTAAGTTTATCACGCAAAGAAACCCCGACCATAGCCCTCTCCATAGCTCACTGAGCGACTTTGAGCTTCCACATACGGCCAGCAGTGAAGGACCACATCTCAGATCCGTAAGTCATATATAAGGACTATATCGTCGGTAAATCGAAGGTGAGTGATGTACTCGCAATTGATGTTAATACCGCATCCTTTCCAGTTCCGTAGCTTGAAAACGTCTTCCAATGTAGCGGTAAAGAGTTTCTGGGATATAACTTCACCCTGTCGTACACCTCTCTGCAGTTGGATAGTTTCGTACTCTGATTCTGTACTCGGATAGCCATCGTAGCTCTAATGTACAAACACTTCAGCACTTCGATATAACGACAGTCAACTTGGCACCGCTGAAGTGACTGCAGCATCGCCCAAATTTCGACGGAATCAAAGGCTTTCTCATAGTCCACATACGCAAGGCAAAGAGGCAGATTGTACTCGTCTGTCTTCTGTACAATTTGCCGAAGGGTGTGTATGTGGTCTATGGTACTAAAGCCTTTTCGGAATCCGGCTTGTTCGGGAGGCTGGAAGTCGTCAAGTCTGCGTGCGAGATGATTCGTAATAACTCTCGAAAACAACACGTAGACGAGGCTCAGAAGGAAAATCGGTCTGTAGTCCTTCAAGAGAGCGTTGTTGCCTTTCTTGAAGAACAAGACCGCCGCACTTCTGCTCCACGCCTCCGGAGTAGTGCCACCATGGATGACGAAATTAAAGAGCTTCTGAAGGACTTCAAGTACCACTTCTGGAAGAAAGAGTTCATCATTAAGAGTCCCTCTTTCTCCATGAAGTCGGCCAGCTGCTGACCCCTTGGATTCCGTTGCCCTGTTCCGAATTTCCCTACTTTCAGCTCACCGTTCTCTCTTGTGCCTAGTTTTGCATTGAAGTCTCGCATTAACACCGTATATTGGGTTTTGGAGGAATGCATGGCTCTAGAGATATCCTCATACATTTCCTCCACCTCCCCATCGGGGTGTGCCGAGGTTGGTGCGTAAACCTGTATGACCTTCAGCGAATACCGTTTGGTGATTCTGAGTATAAGGTACGCAACCCTCGTCGACACACTCCCGATCTTTACAACGTTGTTAACGAGAGACTTGTGGACGATAAATCCGACACCTCCTTGGGACAGATGGTCGCCCTCCCGGTGATAGAGCAAGTTGCCGGATTCGAGGATTACCGTGTCCTCCCCCTCTCTTCGGACCTCAGATAATCCTATAATATGCCAGCGTAACTTGTCTATTTTTTCTTCCAGCTCCACGATCTTCTCGTCAGTCCTCAGGGTGCGTGCGTTGTATGTTGCCATGTCTAGTCGTTTTAGGTGGCAACCGTACCTCCACCGGAGATTCTTAGCACCCCCTTTTATTGAATATAGATTATAAATAATACTTACTGAAAATCACTCTTACGCTTAATTTACTACTGATTCGGAAAATACCTCTGTCCTGGAAAGGACCAACAAGAAACAATATAATAATACAATCATTAGTTACGCAATAATGAATAACAGAAAATAAATTAGAAATAGCATGGTAAATAGCATGGATAAAAGCTTTTACAAAAATTTACTCGTATATCGTATATATATATATATAGTATTATCGTCAGTGGTGTGTCTTGCCTAGTGTAGTGGTGTAGGGAGTAGCGGTACTGGGATTAGTGGTGACGGGGATAGTGCACGCAATTGAGGGAGGGCGGGAGGTGCTCTTCATACTAGGTAAGACACATCTTTTTATTTTATAACGCGGATATTTGCGAAGTAAATTTTTCTAAAAGCTTTTATATAATAGATTTCCGCAAAGTAACGCCTGATTCTATTAATTAAATAGCATAGAGCAAAACCGACGATGCTTGGGATTGAGATCATAGTCCCATGTCAACAAAAGCTGAATCTCCTCAAATAGCGCCTTAGCGTTACGCATGTACTCTCTGAGGGGGTAGGAAGATCCAAAGAGCAGTTAGCAGAGAGTACTTAGAGCACGTTTAGTCAAAAATATGGAAAATTGTGACAGAAGTGATTGATGGCTAGCTCATCGCCTGCATAATCACATATTCAATATCACATGCTAGACAAGTAACAGTATGTCTTTTTTTATAGAATAATGGTGACAAACGAGCACACAGGCCACCTGATGGTAACAGATATTATGACTCATATACATCTACATCTATCCTCGTT